CCCAAACGACTTGGGGACTTGCCGAAGCGCGCGACAATTCTGCCCCATCCCGCGCGAGGCTTGCCGCGCCCGCGCTGCGCCCGGCCACTTTCCGGCGCGCGCTCGCCGAGAGAGCGCGGGCAAGGAGTGTGCTTGGAGCGAAGAACTCCGCCGCGCTCAGCTGCGGCGTCGCAAAGTCCGCTCCTAGCAGACGCAATAGTTCGTTCTTCTCTCGCGACGGGAGGCCGGCGACATTCTCTTCCGACGGCGCTCGGTCGAACCGGGCCCCGCGTCCGATGCGCGCGATGAGGTGCCACAACGCATGAATAATTCGCGAGTGGTCCCAAGTGGAGGCGCGGCCGCTGCGCGCCGCTGCCGCCGCTCCAACGGTGTCGGACCACTTGACAATTCGACGATTTGCAGACATTTCACAGAAAGTAGCCAGGCCCAGCGCTATGGCGAGCAACTCGAGCGACATGAACTGGGAGTCGCTTCGCGGTGCCAGATCCGCCGGCAAACCGTCGCCCGGCGGGGCGCCAGTCCAAAAGGCGAGGCCGTCGATGAATAAAACGGCGGCCGGCCTCGGCTCGGGCCCTCCACGGGCGTCTGAAAAAAAGTGCGCCTGTTTCCGTTCTGGCGGCAACCGCGGCTTGGCCTGGCGCGCTCTGAGGTCCAGCGCGTCCGCCCACCAGGAGAGCGCGAGAGCTGGCGGTCCTCTGACCTCGCCACGCCGCGAATGCTGTTGCGAGAACAGAGAGGTTGGATCATCGCGCGCCCTAGCCTTTCGAAGCAGTGTTGCCCTGCCCAGCTGAGGGCGCCGGCCAACTTGCCGGCCTGGCCGGCGCATGACTTCTCGGCGTCGAGCGCCTGCCTCATCAACGGCGTCCATTTGCGCGCCTTCGTCGGCGCCGGGAACAGGTGGATGCCAGTCAGAGAAAACGACGCGTGCAAGCCTGCGATCTCCAGCGCGTCGCCACACTCCAATTTTCTGTCGGATACTGCTCTTGGGCCCAGCAACGCACGCGCGAGTCTGGCCAGAGAGGCCACGGTGTGCTCCTTGGCTTCGGGCGCGCACGGGCCGGAGAAGTCGCCCACGTATCGGAGGGTGGCGATTCGTAGACGTTTTCGGGCGAGATGAGCCAGGGCTGCGCCCGCGCGGTCCCAGCCGAATGCCGCGGCCAGCGCTCGAAACAGCATCGCTAAATGATTCGTGGCCCAAGTGATCCCGTCTTGCACGTAGGTGCTGTGCGCGGCCCACCTGTGCTCGGGAGCAATGGGGGTTCGACGATAGGCGGAGTCTATTTCCGCCTTGAACAGAGCCAGCGCGCATCCATGTCGGTCGCGAAAGAAGCATATCGCGTCGACAAGTACGTCCGCGCCGTCGAGTTGCAGTCGCTCCGCAGGCTGGCACGCCGCGTCGACGCCGCCCCTGGGATCGTCGTCCACAACGCGGATTTTTGGCGCCCCCGCCTTCTTTTACGCTTTGTTTTATTGAAAACCGCGGCGAGAGTCGTGCTCTGCTGAGGTCAGCATCGGCGACGAGAACCAGAGACGCCATCCGCGACATGGCTGCGTCGGCAAGCGCGCCGTCGTGCAGCGCCGAGGAGTTCGCCTCCCCCCTTAGAGACGAAAGAATCTCTCTGTTGTGCGCTGCGGGCGAGGCCCGCAAGGTCTCGGCGGAGATGGGCCCGGGGAAAGCCTTGGGGCAACTTGCCGAGGAGAGGCGCGCCGTTGCGAAACAAGTCAGCCGCGCCGGGGTCGCCGTAGCTCTTTATGTCGAGCAACTCGGCCAAAAGCGGCCTGTTGACGCCGTCGGAGACGGCTCTCGTCGCTTCGTCCGCGCCATCGAACCGGCGTTGCACTGATCCGCCCCGGCGGAGCGCTTGGTCCCAGCCTTCCAGGCGCGACGACAAGTTGTCTCGGTGGCGCATTACTTCAGCGCATCCCATGGGCGCTTCCCATTCAGTGGCGCTCCGCGCAACCTCCCCGATACCCCAAAAAGGCGCGGTAGGAAAACCATCTTTGAGTGCATTGGTAATCAATTCAATATTTTCCTCGTCGCCCGTGGCGAGCTTGCCTGCCGCGCGACGGGCCGCGGCGCCTGCGTGCCTCGAGCCGCGGCTTGACCGCGGCGTCGCATTTCAAATGTTCGCGAGTCATGTCCGTCGCGGGCGGGCCCGCGCGGGCGCAACATCCTGGTGATGCTGCCGGCGTAGGCGGCGCAGCGCGCGCCCCCGCCGAATTGGCGGCCTTTAGAGACGCAGCGCCGGCGCGCGACGATCGTTTGGACGCGCCGCGCGGGGGGCCTCAAGCTCCGCAGGGAAACCTGCGATTAGCTCAACAGCCTCGCGCCCTTGGTATTCGAATGCCACCTCTGGGCTCTGAGCAACGCCTGCTAAATAGACTGGGGCCGACGTCGCACGCGCGCGGAACGCGCGGCGCCTGCGGGGCGCCGCGTGTCAAGTCAGCGTTTCTGATATCTGGCCCTCTTAGCCCGCGGCTCTTCGTAGTCGCCGCGATCGCCCCCCGGCGCGTCAGAGGCCTTGCCCTTGCTGGCCCCCTCTGCGTTCTTGCCGATGCCCTTGCCGCCTTTGGCGCCACCTTTGCCGCCTTTGCCCCCGCGGAATGCCGCGCGCTCCTTCGCGTATCTGTCGTGCTCAGCTTCCGCTGTCGGGAGCAAAGTCGCGTCCGCCGCAGTGACGGCCGTCTCAATGTTGAACGATTCGTCGCCCGCAATAGACCTCTCAGCCCAGTTGTGCCAGCGGAGCTCATCATGTGCGAGCGCCAGCTGTCCGCCCCGATGGGCCCGCGGCGCCTGCGCGGCCACCTGGCGCGGGCCGCGTGCAGCACGCACGCGTCGCGCGACCCCTTTTGCGCTCGGCGAATCGCGAGCCTTGAGGACAATCTGACGGTGGCTGACCGTCGCGGCCAACGACATCTGACCGGTGCAGACGCAGGTTATGGCGTACCTGCGCGCAGGCGAAAGCCGCGCTTGGTTGCGCGCGCGGCACGAGCAAGTTGTCGCGCGCATCTCGAAGGCTGAATGCCATCGCGAGAGGGTCAGCGATCTGGATTTGACCGAGCTGACGGCGCCCTCGTCCTCTGTTGCATCCTTCACGCCCCGTGCCTCTGCCTACATGGGCAATAATTTCTTTAAGTCTGAATGAACAAACGGGCGCTTGACGCCGCGGCGCAGCAGCTTCTGCACCTCGTTGTCTAATGCGTCCACCGCGGCGGAACGTGGCCAGAAAGGCTGGCTTCAGTCCTCGAGGGGGCCGCTCTTCAACGTCCCCTGTAGGTCGACGTGACACCGAGGTTCGGTCGCAGCCCCGCCGCGGGGCGCGCCGGCAGCGGAGGCCGAGCCCGACGCGCGCCGCTCCTCCTCGAGCAAGGTCTTCGCGTCGGACATTCTTATCCTGGCGAGGAAGGACCGCTTGCCTGTAGTCAGATCGCCCGTCAGCGACTCCGCGGCCGCGAAAGCCAAATCGCGCGCGGACGTCAACTCGCTCTCCTCTGCAAACGAGCAGGCTCGCCATTGCCGCGCCCGCGGGCGGGCGCGTCGCCTGGCAAGCGCGCGCAATTCGCAATCCACTCTCCGCCGCGTTTGGCATCGTCATGAGATGCCGGAAATTCAAGCAAAGACATGCCCAGGTTGGGCGTCTCAACGGCCATCTTGCCGCGTGCCGCGCGCCGCATTTGCCGCAGCGGCGCGCGCCCGCCGCGACTTCAGTCCGCGGAGCTGCTTGCGCTTGCGCGGAACCGCACCGCGCGTTGCCGTGCGCTTAAGTTCGACGACACATTCGCATTAGCGGAGTCTTCGCCGCGATCGCCTAGTTTGTTTGGTCGTGTCGATACTATCGTCTGGACAGGGTCACGAAGACACCGAACGGTCGACACGCGGTCGCTTGACACGATCTAAGTATGTCGAATTATACGCGATCACCTCTCACGGTCGCGCGTTTGGCGCACTTGGCCAATTGAGGCACTCTTGGCCGCGTTTTGGCGCCCCTGGCCGCGTTAAGCACGTTCCACTGCGTTTAGCACTCTTGGCCGCGTTTGGCACTCTTCGCCGCGTTTGGCACTCTTCGCCGCGTTAGGCGCTCTTGGCCGCGTTGGGCACTCTAGGCCGCGTTTGGCTCCCTTGGCTGCGTTTGGCACTCTTGGCCGCGTTTGGCACTCTTCGCCGCGTTTGGCACCTTTGGCCGTGTTTGGCACTTTAGGCCGCGCTTGGCACTCTTGGCCGCGTTTGGCATTTTAGGCCGCCTGAGGCACTCTAGGCCGCGTTTGGCACTCTTGGCAGTGTTTGGCACGTTGAGCCGCGTTTGGCACTTTAGGTCGCGCTTGGCATTCGTGGCCGCGTTCGGCACTTTAGGCCGCGCATGGCACTGTTTGACAATTAAGGCACTCTTGGCCGCGTTTGGCACCCTGGGCCGCGTCTGGCATCCTTGGCCGTGTTTGACACTCTAGGCCGCGTTCGGCACTCTTGGCCGCGTCAGGCACTCTTGGCCGCGTTTGGCACTCCAGGCCGCGTTAGGCACTCTTGGCCGTGTTTGGCACGCCTGGCCGCGTTTGGCACTTTCGGCCGCGTTGGGCGCTCTAGGCCGCGTTAGGCACTTTTGGCTGCGTTAGGCACTCTTGGCCGCGAAAGGAGAACGCCACTACCGCGGCAAGCCGACGCGCGCGCGGAGAGCGCTGGCCTCGCGGTTGGCCGTTGCGCGCCCCTGCGCCGCGCGTCGTGCGCGGGGGTGTGTTTGCCCTCCCCCCGCCGCGTGGAGAAAGTCATGAAAGGGGGCCTTTCCCAGAACGCGATGTGCACGAGGACCTGGGCGCGCCCCTCTTCCAACCTCTTGCCCAACCGCCCCGCCCGCCCCCCCCCCCGCGGGCCGCGCGGCGATTCGCGGTGCCCGCGGCGGGGGGGCGGACGGAGAAACGCTGCTAGGTGCGCGTTTTTGTGACGGCGAACAAAACTGCGTAGTGTTCTGCCCCGCGTGGTCCTGCTTAGGCGTTTCGACGCGACGCCGATGGACGAGCCCATCTCCGAGGCAGCGAAGTGCCCGAAGAAGTGCCTCTTCACGCCGCGTCGGTGGGTTCATGCAGGCATGAAGGTTTACGCCCAGAGAAGCAGGATCGTCGCCGACAAGTTGGATCATATTTTCAGACGCGTAGAGTAGAATAACCCCGCGGCGACGATCAAGCTCGACAGGGCGGCCAAGCCCGGTGACAAGGCAGAGTCGGTCAAGAGGGGCCCGATCCATCCAGAAGGCGAAGAGGAACACATTGATGCCGACGCTGGCAGCTGGAAGGAGGGATGGAGATGTGGCCGATGGACAGGAAGTTGGTGGTATGAGGACTGGTGGAGTAGGTCGCCGGGCGGTCATGCTAAAAGGGGGTGGGACTGGCCACGACCCTCCGTGCCACTGGAGGTCCATAAGAAGACCACGGTGAAGGAGAAGGCCACGGAAGCGCTGTGCTCGCTGATGGCGAGATTCGAGCTCCACGAAAACGGCATTGACATCGAGGCTCTGAAGGAAGTTGCGACCGAGGCGCGAGAGAACCTTCCCCCTTCGGTCGTGGCTGATTGCTGCTTCGTTAGCCAGCAGGTGTGACTGCCCAACGGCGCGCAGGGGTACTCTCGTTAGCCGGGACTCCGCTGAACCTGAAGAACGTCGAGGGGGCGCGGCGAGACGAATTGGCCGACGTTGCCCTGATGGAACATTGATCGAACAAGAAGCAGCGCGACATGTAACCCACGCAGGCCTGGGCGAGGGCGCGCTCTCGGCATCTTCGACGAGAGCGACGGCGAAAAGCAGGGCTACGACGGCCATTGCGCCGAGGTCGACTACCGCGAGGCCAACCTGGGTGACGGGGCGGGCGATGACGACGAGCGCGGCGTGGCTGAATATGCACTGGCGGCGATCGCTAGCGCGGAGAAGGACGTCCAGACCCAGGAGCGGACGCTGGCGCAGGCCCGTGCTGTCGTCGAGGATATGAAGCAGAGCCTTGGGTTCTGTCAGAAGAGTAAGGCCCGTGGAAGGGGCAAGAGCAGACTCATGGATGACAACTGCTCGTGGCTGTGCTTCATCCGCGGCGTCTCGCGCAAGCAATTGACCTGCCCGGGGGATGAGGGGAATGACCGGAGTGGGGCGTCCACGGGCAAGGTCCAGCAGGTAGACGCCGTGGCGCTCAGCTGCGGCATCAGCGGGGGCATTCCCAACTACGAGATCGAGCTGGGCGAGGGGGTCGAGGCGGTGGTCTCGAGGGCGAGACGGAGGGGCGCACGGTGCCGGCGCGCGGCGCGACGAAAACCATTCACAGAGACAAGTGTCTTGGGGTGTAGGCGCACTTGTGCGTTGCCTGCTGGCCCGCAACCGTTTGTGCTCGAGGGGCCCGCGGGCCGCCCGTGGGCGGTCATTTAAGTTTTTTGCGGGCTCCAGAGAGCCAGTGCCCTGTTGGTATGCACGGATATCTTGCGCGTGTGTACCAGCGCTTACACGAAGTGCCCAATGCTGGGCGGCTTTCTGGAGGCCGGGCGCATCCGAATTTCAGACGGGCGGGCGGGGGCGAAGCTGGCCCGCCAATCGTGCTGGAGCGGAGGGAAGTCAGGTTCTCGGGCCTAGCGTCGTCGAGGCTGACGCCGACGCCGAGGTCGCCGTCGAGATCTGCGGGGAGGGGCTGGAAGCTGCCCCCCCCATTTTTGGGGCCCGGGGCAGTCTTGGGCCTCCCTTTCGGAAGGGGGGGGGGCCTCCCGAAGCAGCCCCCTTCCCTTCCCTTCCTTTCGTTTGTATTTCTAGCTGACGGGGTACTGGCCGGCAAGGAAGTGGCGGCGTTTCGAAGCTGCCCCCTTGGTTTCTTTCGTCGGGGTCGAGGGTCAGCCCGCCCTCCTCTTTCCCGAGAGGGGGGGCTTCGGAAATCCCCCCCCCGGTGCGCATTTTGAGATCGTTGGGTCAGCGCGTTAGGGCTCAGGGTCTCAGGAATGGCGCGTTGCGGCGCCAATTTGGTTTCGGCGCCCGCTTGGTTGTGAACGCCCTCGTGTTTTTTCGGCGCCTTCGTGGTTTTCGGTTCGATTTTGGGTTGTCGGCGCCGCTCTGGTTGTCGGCGCCCGTTTGGTTATCCGGTCCCGTCTACTTGTCGGCGCCCTTGTGTTTTTCGGCGCCTTTCTGTATTTCGGCGCCAGTTCTCTTGGTCTTCGGCGCGCCTTTCTGGTTTTCGGCGACCTTGCGGTTGTCGACGGCTCCGTGGTTTTCGGTGCCTTTTTCGTTTTCGGCGCCATTTTGGTTATCGATGTTTCCCCAGTTCCTGGCGCATTCTTGGTTTTCGACGCCTTTTTTTTTTTTTTTGTTTTCGGCGCCCCTTTGGTTGTCTGCGCCCTTCAGATTTTCGGCGCCATTATGGCGTTCGGCGCCCTTTGCTTGTCGGCGCGCTCGTGGTTCTCGGTGCCCTCTTGGTTCTCGGCGCTCTCGTGGTTTTCGGCGCCCAGTTGGTTTTTGGCGCCGTTTCGGTTATCGGCGCACAGTGGGTTTGCGACGTCCTTTTAGATTTCGGCGCCCCCTTGGTTCACGGCGCCCTGGTGGTTTTCGTCGCTTATTTGGTTTTCGGGGTTTCTTTGGCTTTCTGCGTGTCTTTTCGGCGCCCCTTGATTTTGTGGTCCCGTTTGACCTGCGTCGCCCTCGTGGCTTTCCCTTCCATCCTTGTTGGCCGGCGCGCTCAGGTTGTCGGCGGCCCCTCCGTTTTTGGCGCTCGCGTCGTTATCGGCGCCCTCTTTGTTTGTGCGTGCAAAGTCAGAGCCTTAATTTAGTCATCAACCTCGCCCTTTTCTTGGCGCGATCAACCGGGGAACTCCCTTTCTCTCCGCTCCTGCTCCTCGGTGCGCCGCTCGCGCCCCCCTTCAGCTCTTATCCTTCGCCCCCCTTCTCTATCCTTAGCCGCTCCCTGCCCCAATTGTCCGTCGCTCGCTTGGCCCTGTAGGTGGCCCTCGAGGCTTTGGCATCGGACCTCCCCTCTTCTCTTCTTCGCCCCCCCCCCCCCCCTGCGCGACTGTCCAGGCCGTTGCGCCCCCCGCGAAAAATTTGCGAGAGCCGGGGCCCTCCGCGAAAAATTCGCGAGAGTCCCGCGAAATATTCGCGTGAATCTTTCGCGCCGCGCACTATCCTCTGAGGCGCCCCCCGGGCCACCTCGCCCCCGTGGAACCCCCCCGGGCGATTCGCGAGGGCTGTTCGCGCGCGAGACCGCCCCGGGCGACTCGTGCAGGAACTCAGCGGTGGAGACCCCCCCAGGCGATTCCACCGCTCGGACCGAGCCCTTCCGGGCGAGTCGGCCCGTCTTGGAACCCCCCCGGGCGACCCAGGACCCCCCGCGCCCGACCAGGCGAGCGGGGGCGAGCGGGGGCACCTGCGGGAAAAGCGCCCGCCTGCGCTCCCCCTTGTGAGGGAATGTTGGCGGGGGCGATCCGCGCCGGGGCGGCGGGGGGCCCCCCCGGGCGATCGACCGCGGCAGACCCCCCCCGCGTGAAAAATTGAAAAACGTAGAAAACACACGGACCAACACGCAACAAAGCACAAACAAACAAACAAACAAGCACCGGACGGAACATGAAAAAACAAAGAAACAACGCGAACACCACGCACGCACGCACACAACAATGATGAAACTATGGCTCTGACATTGCGCGGCTAATTTTGTTTTCGGCGCCGTGTGGTTTTCGGCGCTCCGTTTTTTTCGGTGACCCCTAGGTTTTCGGCGCCCATGTGGTTTTCGGCGCCTTTCTGGTACTTTGGCGCACTTGTGTTTTCGGCGCCTCCTATGTGGTTTTCGGAGCTTTTTTGGTTTTCGGCGCTTTTTCGGTTTTTGGCGCCCCTTGAGTTGGTGGCGCCCTGTTGGTTTTCGGCGTTCTTGCGGTCGTCGGCGCCCTGTCGGTTCTCGGCGCCTCCATGGTTGTCGGCGCCGCCCTTTTGGTTATCGGCGGCGTTCCGTTGGCGTGGTTTTCGGCGCTTCTTTTCTTTTTGGGCGCCCTTTTTGTTGTCGGCGCCCCTGTGGTTCTCGCCGCCCCCTTGGTTTTGGTCGCGTTTTTTTCGGCGCCCTGTGGGTTTTCGGCGCTGGCGCCCCCGTGGTTTTCGGCGCCCTTTTGGTTGTCGGCGCCTTTTCGGTTGTCGTCGCCGTTTTGGTTTTCGGCGCCACTTCGGTTTTCAGCGACCTTGCAGGTCTTGCGGTCCTTTGGTTTTCTGCGCTTCTCTGGTTTTCGCCGTTGTTTTGGTTGTCGGCGCCTGTGTGGTTTTCGACGTCCTTTTGGTTTTCGGCGCTCGTTTTGTTTTCGGCGCCCCTCGGGTTTTCGGCGTATTTTGGTGTTCTGGGCCCTTTTGGTTTCCGGCGCCCTTTTGGTTTTCTGCGCTCCTTGGGTTTTCGGCGCCGATTCGTTTGTTTGTTGTCGGCGCCTTCTTGTGATTCGGCGCCCTTCTTTGCGGCGCCCTTTCGGTGTTTTATGCACCTTTGGTTTTCGGCGCCGTTTTGGTAATCGGCGCCTCTCTTTGGTCTTCGTCGCCCCTGTGGTTTTCGGCGCCCTTTCGGTTTCCGGCGCCCCGTTGGTGTTCGGCGCCCCTTCGGTGTTCGGCGCGTTTTTTTTTTTTTTTTTTTTTTGTTCTCTCTCCCCCCCCCTGGTTTTCGGCGCTCCTTTGGTTTTCGGCGCCCATCTGCTCTTTCGCCGCCCGTGTGGTTTTGGGCGTCCTGCTTTGTATTCGGCGCCCTTTGTTTGTTGGCGCGCTTGTGGTTTTCCGCGCCCCATAGCGCCTGGGGCCGCTTGGACGCGCCTGGGGCGCCTAGGAGCGCCTGGGGCGCTTCGGAACGCTTGCGAGCGCTTACAAAGCGCCAGGAGCGCATGCGAGCACTTGGCAGCGCATGGGATGGAGCACCTGGAATCACTTGGGAGCGCCTTGGAGCGCTTGGGTGCGCATGGGAGCGCCTGGGAGCGCTTGGTAGCGCTTGTTGACACATGGGGCCGCTTGGGAGCGCCCGAGAGCGCCTGGGAACGCCAGGGAACGCATGGAAGCGGCTGACGCGCCTGGGAGAGCCTGGGATCGCTCGGGGGCGCATGGGAGCGCCTGGAAGCACTAGGAACGCTTGAGAGCGCTTGGAACACTTGGAAACGCTTGGGCCCGCTTGGAGCGCCTGGAACACTTGGAAACGCTTGGGAGCGCTTGGAGCGTCTGGGAGCGCTCCCAAGCGCCTGGAGCGCTTGGGAGCGCCTGGGAGCGTTGAGAGCGGCTGAAATGGAATTCGCATTGTAAAGCACATAATTCTGCCACAGCGGCGGGCTTGGTAAGGAAACTCTTGTAGGTGTGTGAAGGCATGATCAGAAACGTTTTTTTTTTTTTTTTTTTTTTTTGTTCCTTCTTCTTCTTCCTCATATATTATTATTATTATTTTTATTAAGTTATTAGTTGTTATTACTTATGATTATTATTATTACTATATATATTTACATACATTTATATATATATATATATGCAACACTATTTTTCCTGCGAGTGATAGCAAGGGTCTGCGTCCGCGGAGGCGCATTGGTAGTGTAACTCGCAATGGATTCCGCACGCATTTTTTTTTTGGTGTTATATATATATATATATATATATAATATATATATATATATATATATATATATCAAGGGATCGCAGGGGTTTACGTTCGCGGAGGTGCAGTTGTATTGTAAATCGCAATGGGTTCTGCTTGCAAGTTTTTTTTTTTTTTTTTTTTTTTTTTTTTTTTTTTTTTTTTTTTTTTTTTTTTTTTTTTTTTTTTCTCTCTCTCTCTCTCTTTTCCCTTTTTTCTTTTTGTTTCAGGGATATCACGGATTTACGTCCGCGGCTGTGCATTTGTAGTGTAAATCGCAGTGGAGCTCGCACGCATGATCAGAAATTCGTATTTCTGTTGCAAGGGATAGCAAGGGCTTACATGCCGGTGCGTATGTACCCGCATGTTAGCGCATGTAGTCGGTTTTGCAGCATTCAGGGGTTAATAATTGTAGGATTCAGAATTAAGGGTTATGGCTAAAATGTTGGTGTTAGGGTGTTAGAGTTAGGGTTGGGGTTCGGTCGTGAGGGTTTTAGGGTTAGGGTGTGAGGGTTTGGGTGGTCGGGTGTTAGGGTGCGAGGGTTCGGGTGTTCGGGTCCAGGCATGATAGTTGAGGTTCGGGTTCCTGAGGAAGGGGACTGCTTCCGTGGCCCGGGAACCAGGAGGGGGCTTCCAAATTTTTCCTTTG